CTGATATGGAGGTCCATGGTCGTAGTGAGAGATATCGTGCTCGAGTCAGAGGTCGTGGTTGTGTCTGTGTGGAAGGTGGTGGGCGCAGTCGAAGACGTTGTTGTGGGTGAGAGACATCATCGAGGAAATGGTAGAAGTCGTGGATCATGTGGCTGGCATCGCAGACGTTATGGAGAATGTCGAGCTCAACGTGGACGATGTAACAGCGGAGGAGCTGCTGGTAGTGGTTGTTCTGTAAAAATATCAGCGACAAACTCGATGAGAAGACGCTGCGCTCGTAGCTGAAGTGACCGTCCCAGTGCCATCTGTAGTCAATACCTGGCCTGCGACCGCGGTAGTTCCAGAAGTGGGCTGCCCCAGCACTGGATTGGAGGAAGGGATTTAGTATGAGCTATGCCTACCCAACTTCTGTATAGCAGCCGGAGCCACAGCTAAGATGACAGAGATTCAGAGATAAATCGGCAGCAACCAGGGCTGGTGGTCACAACAAGGAAAAGACGCATAGTTGATGACGGATGAAAAGTGGCAAAATCGCAGCCAAAATTGGAACCCTCAAGGGGACAGATCTAGTAGGAAAAGGGATGGAGAAAGCATCATAAGAGACTAATCCTTTTGATATTGAAAAAGGTAGGTACAAAGGCACAGTAACAAGAGGAGGGACAAAAGAAAAAGGGAAGAAGTGAAGAAAACATAAGAGACCCGCTATCTTGAATAACTACTCCTGATCCCGGAGCAAATTGCAACCTACGCATACAACCAAATGATGGCTGCTCCTCCAATAACAGTCAGACTAACATCATGAGTAGTATGATGGCACAATTCCATCTGGATGGGAGAAAAGGTTTATCATCCAATGTGCAAAAGGAAATTTTCATACCTGAGAGGAGCAGACTCGCATCCTCGTCATCTAAACTTGCTAGAGTAGGCATGTGCATGGTTTGTGAACTTGAAAAGGCATTCAAAATGACCTCCGTCATTGTCTTTGAATGGGTCTGTGCTAACAGCACCTATATGCGGTCAGTTAGCTTATGAAAAGAAAAAGATCAGATAATAATAATCGCACCTCCATCATTCCTTGGATGAATTCCCACTTGTTCTTCGCAAAGTCAAGCTGGGCTCGTATCCCATTGCGATTCCTCCATTGTCCAAGGTCCACCGCCATCTTCAGGCCTTTGATGAGAGCCTCGGCCGTACTGAGCTAGGCATGAGTAGGAAGTCAATGTTGGAGCGGAAATTGAACCGTACACGGCATAATCTTTGAGGGATGTCTCGAGGTTCTTGCAGAGAGCAGTCCCAAACACAGATGCTGTTCCTTTGTTCCCCTTGGGCTCGTGTAGTATGAAAACCAGTAAATACGAAAATTGACGAATCCTGTGTATGAGTGCATCGACTTGGACTGCTTTCCCCTAAAATAAGCATTTATTCATGGAAGCTACAGCAACGTAATGGATCATCTTCCCTTGCTTCGCTTAATGGATTCCTCCAGCTCTTCCTGAAAGTTGGCTGCAACGGTCAATACCGGTTTCATGACTTTGAGAACATCCATCTAGATCTCATGGTCATTACATGATAAAAAAAGAAAGGAAAGAATACAGGACTTGCCGTTACTGGAACCTGGCCTAAAGGTGATTCTGCAGGTTTGGCATGCAACTCTCCACTCTCCGGTGGGGTCATCTCCTCAGCATTCGCCTTTTCCCCATCCTCTTTATTTTGCTGACTAAAAAGTCGGCAGTGGTCGACAAGTTCCACTGGCGGTGGCTGGGACAACTTCCCATGGATGATCGCACGAAAGAATGTGGCTAGTTTACCGCCCTGAGATACGAGGCTAGGCGATTCCTCGGAAGCTTGGAGAAAGATGTTCAGATACATTGGAGAAAGGAGGATGTGGTAATAGTATTGGTGGTGATGATGAGAATTATGAGGCAGAGAAGAAAGTCCTGTTTTGGTCATTCAAAATACCGGCGGGAGTGGGGCAAAAGTAGTTGCCGGTGACAGGTCGAGTCTGACTTCTCTTTCCTTGTGAATATAATATTTGCATATTCAGACCTTGATGGAACGATAAGTTAAGAAAAAGGTGTTATTATCTCATGATGAGAAAAGACGAGTGCGTGAGCGCTCGCGGGTCAGTGAGAAGATACAAGTAGAAGACGTCTGCCTGATAATAATGGCAGCCTTTTCTGTTTTCATTGCCACTCACAGTCCGAAGGTCAAAAAACAATTCAGAGTGGATTTTTGAACTTGAAGAGACCATATACAGCTCTCGATTCGTCTTTCCAAGCCATGTTCCACCGAATGATACTGAAGTAACTAATATATTTCATTTCTAAAATCCGGAAGATGCATGAACATAATGAACTGGCTGTTTGAACTTTGGGCTTGCCTCTCGTCCATTTACGTTTCATGGACAAGTTTTGATTGCCGTCAGGGGTAGATGTTACCTAAGAAAGGCACATATTCATGTAGCAAATCTGCTCTTCTACATGTTTTATGTTGCATGAACATTGGTGCAAGATGTTATATCTATACAAAGGAGCACAGTCAGGATTTCCACTGTCTCTTTATTCTCAAAAGCAAGATCAAGAATGGTTTCAGACATACCATAGCTGTTGTGTGTAATGTTGTAAATTGACATTGAGCATGTATAGAGCAACAGCTATGGCGGATTCACGACTGGGACGATCAGCTTCATATCTAGCTTAGCATATTATCCTGGCCGAAGGTTGATCAAAGCCTAGGACACAATATCTAGGAATAACATACAAGTTTGTCATAATGCTTATGCTCTTCAAGCAGGGGATGTAGATGGTTTGCCACTCTTTCCTGTAGGCCCGACAATGAGAAAGACCGGGAAGACTGGATGATGGCTGACCCGAACATAATATGGTGAGCAAAAGTGATGTTGATGGTGCAATAATCATCATTACTGTTGGGATTTTGCTGGAAAGTTCTAGAAAAGGCAATCCGGCATCATGCTGAGAGCTGATGAGTAACCTCAAGAGAAAGAGAAAGTTGTAGTAAATTCTAGATACAAGCCTGGAGAGTATAAATACAAGCTCTGTAGGAGCTGTAGAATAAAGAAGTTCATTCTTTCTGGCCTTACCAGCCTGGAGTCTACCCTGTGCATCACTAAGGATTTCCAACAATTATGACCTACAGGGGGTCAACCTCATCGAAATGGTGAAGCAAAGGTGAAGAGAGGTGATACTAACCAAAGAAGTTCTCCGACAACCAACGATTGATCACTTGACACATGGTGCAGGTAAAAAAAATTGGTCACTGGAAAGATGGCCCACCCATTTAAAGGGGGTCAGTTAAGCACTCATAAGAGATGTGTAAAGAATAGCTACGGGAGGAGACCTTTTGTATCAATCTGATCATGATAACAGATCTTGATTTTGTCTAACATTCCCAGGACCGAGGACTCAAGTTTCTTGTTTAATGTGTGGTGTACTATGGAGATATGGTACAGGTTTGTGGTTATGGCCTTTTCGAGAGTGTGGTCTGACTGCAAGAGCTTTGGAAGCACTTCATTAAGGCAATTAGGAAAAGTAGGCATAAACTTACATCAACCAGAGTAGCTTCTAGAGAAAGACTTTCTTGATGAGCATTTAGCAGGTCTTTGGTGTTCCCATGTACCAATTATGAGCCAGTGGTCCATCTGTGCAACTTTGAATATACTGTTCTTATACTGTATTTTTATTCAGATCACAATTTGGAAAATGTATTGTATACACACCCTTCCTTTGGCAATGGCCATGCATCATGGAGGAATTGAAAGACCACAAGATATGAGACAAATAGTCCACTATGCTCTACAATAGGTATGTGGCTGTAGAAAGGTACATTAATATACAAAATACACAACTACCATTCAAGACATACCAAAGCCTTGTATTTTCGGTATGTGGCCGACAATTGTGAAAGGTATACTGTTACAAGCACTGCCAGAGAGGTAAAGACACAGACAGAATGTGCAGCCATAGAAGAGCAATATGAGGAGTGAAGCCTGAATGGTATGATGATGGCTGGAGATTACTGACCATTCATCTGGCTCCTGCATTTCTGCACAGTGATTCATATGTAAATCTTGATCATCATATCGGTCAACAAGCTAGCAGTGGGCAAATGTCAAATCCGACCCTAAAGACCCCTAACTGACTGGATGGATCCAAGATGCCCGAATTACCCTCCTTCCCTTGCTTTCTATTTTCTGATGACCTATTTGATCGGCCACTTATCTCAGACTCCCTTATATTATATATCCAAAATATGGATTGAACCAAGAAGTATACGGCACTTTATCTCTATGGAAGACCACGTTTGATTCTCACTTTACTCTTTCCTTACTCCTTGACATTTTTCTAAGACAAGACATGCCTGTCACTGTACATATGGTCATTGGCAGTGTTGGCTTTCTTGGATCCCATATCATTACCATGCTAAAAGAACGAGTCAATATGAGAATCAGTGTTTTCGATTTTCTTCAGCCTTCCCCAAGCGAGGCAGTGGAAGGGGTGGAATATTTCACTGGAGACATAACCAATGAGATATATTTAACTGAAGTTTTGAAGCAGGTGCATATTTTCTCTATGTAGAGCTGGAGTTGACTGGAGGTGAACCTTTACTAGTTCAAGCCAACCATAGTCTATCATACGGCTTCTCCAATTCATGGACTACCCTCTTCTGTGTACTTTCATATCAACAAGGAGGGAACTCATTTGGTTGTATCTGCCTGTCGGGCCACACATACCAAGGAACTTGTATACACATCCTTGACTGGCATCATTTGGATGGGTGCTGATTTGGCTGGAGTGAAAGAAGATGAGGTTTGGATACCTTCTCAAAGTTACGATGCATATCATCATACTAAGGCTTTGGCTGAGCAAACCGTACTTGATGCGAATGGAGTGGATGGTATGGCGGTCATGGTTCTTAGGCTATGCGGTATGACCAGGTAAGCACCAATTGGCTTTCTGTGTGATAACTTGCTGATTTCAGGCTGGTCAGGGAGCGCAACAAGCAGCTCATCTGGTGTGTAGCGAAGCTCCTTGAGCACGGCCAGGAGAATATACAAATCGGAGATAATATGAATCTCATCGATTATCTCTATGTGGGTAACGCTGCCCATGCTCACATTCTGGGTGTGGATCATTTACTCATGAGTCCTGAAAGCATTGCTGGTCAAGTATTTTTCATCACCAATGGACAACTGATGCCGCAGTGGCCTTTTAACAGACTGATATTCAGAGAGTTGGGAGATGATGGAACGAAGAGGATTATCACAATTCCCCGAGCTCTGGCACTCTTTCTCGCCGTGGTCACCGAATTTTTGTGCAGGGTTATTTGGGCAAAGTCAGAGTTCAACATGTCTACTGTTCGATTTGCGACAGGTGTGCAATGGTATAATATTGACAAGGTGCCATTCTTCCTCTTGTGCTTAGCTGTGTGTCTGAATATCACAACGACAGGTGTGTAATCTTCTGGGCTATGAACCTAAAATATCATTGGAGGAAGAAATATGTCGGACCGTTCAAGTATGTATCTTGATTTGTGATGTGACTGAAACTGAACTATGGGGACAGTGGTGGAAAGCCTCCGGAGCTGGCGAGTGCAATCAGAGGAAGGAGAGGCGGATTTGACTTCAGTCAATTACCCAGATCAGCAATTCCAATATAGACTGTTATACTGCAAAGTTGTGATGGCTTGCCTGTGTGACATCAGCTTGCTCACCAGGCACCCATAGTTCTCAAATTCATTTTCCTTTGGAAATATTGTCGAGACCGTTATTCGAAGCTTACAAAGAAATTCAATAAGCATTTATAAACACGAAGTCAGACACTGATAACCAGTACCCCTATACAAACGACATGACTGTTAGAGCTTTAGTCAGACAATGATGGCGGTTGAAGACTAAGGAGCAAGAAATGATAATGTACGGCAATAATGTCCAATGGCCATATGAGAGACGCGTAAGGCATAATAAGTCCGTACCTATAAGTCTGGGATCCCATCCCCTGCTAACAGACACTCATTGAAATGCTACCACCGTATCTATGAATACTGCTAAAATGGCCTGGGATCATGTTGATCATACCGAGATGTGTAAAAGCAGAGACCCCACCTGCAGAAATCAATGAGACGACGTTTGAAGGTCTCCGACATAATATATTCCATTTGAACATGGATATGCAAACGGTGTATACCAACCACACCTGCTTCGTGGGACTCCAAAAAGAGTAGAATGCAATTCTCGAGTGACCTGTATTGTCCTGCAGCAAGACTCAAAGAAGACATATCTATCTCGATGGAGTGCAGTCCAGGGAGGAAAGGCGCAGTGTAAGGATGTGAAAGGATATCTCGAATATGGGTGAATGGGAACCTAAAGATAGAGATGGCCTCCACTGATGAACAGGTGTCACATCGGAGTAGGCACAATGGATCAGAGATCATTGAGCCCCATGAGAGCTTGAGTGTCTTCAGAGCACAGATTGACCGTTGCAACATGGGAACTACACTGTCACTCAGGCTTGCAACTGTTGCAGGGTGAACATCCACATATGATATATTCAGATGGTTTAATGATGGTAAGACGAGGAATGACAATATGCTGTCAAGAGGCTTGGAGCTAAGCATCATCTCCGAATATCCTATGATGCAGGATAGGGATGCAATTTTGGGAAAAACGATGGGAGCCGCATGTGTATGCTGGTGAACTTGCCAAGGAATGACTGGTGATGTGAATGTCAACCATTTTAGCGATGACATCTGAAGGAGAACTTGCACTGTCTGCAGTGCATTTGAATCAGTTATAACACCTTTCAGTGTCAAAGTAGTCAGCTGCACCCATTGGAGCTGCAGGTCCAGCCAACCCGGATGATGAACATTATTGATGATGAGATTTCAAAGATTGGTAGCAGATAAAAGTTGGACCAGATGGGAAGGTGTTGTCAGCCCTTCAACTATCTCCAAGGTTTCGAGTGCAGGGATGGAATTCTGAATAAATAAGAATGGTTCCAACGTGAGCCCTGACACACTGGTTGACAACTGCTTCCATCGGTAGGAAGAGGCAATGAGAGGCCAAAGGTATGAGGCTCCTTCATTTGGCACATCTATATCGTGAAAGAATGAGATATCAAGGGGAAGGCCGGCCGAGCGCTGCAGTTGAAGATGGAGATTCTTCAGCAAGCACTCATGTGAAACAACACAGTCAGTAGGTGATCTCTTTGACAGTCGCTTTTGGATACGAATGGGGTTGGGCACAATACACATATCGAAGTGCACATGCGTCCATAGCTGTGGAAACAATAGCATAGTCTGCCCCCACATCCTGTACACCATGCCAAGGATCCATGGGGGTGAATTTGCACAATGGAAGGAAGTACGACTCGGTGTCAGGTTGGAAAGGCAATATGTGAAAATCTCGTGTAACATGTCTTCAGGAAGACGACGGACGGGATTAAGGATCTCGGTTGAGTGCTCCATACTCCACTGAAGCTCACTGCGTGTGTGGATGAGGGATTTCAATTCCATCTGCAGCTCTGATATCGAGGAATCAAGCTCTAAAAGCATGCCAGATCCCATCTTTCGGATATCTCTGAATATAGCCTCCTCTGATGCTGACGGAGGTCAATTGGTATGCAAAAGGGCCATGATATCAGGACCTGGGGTGAAGGAGGATCCTCCACATACCATATTGCAATTTGGACATGAGTGGGACATATCATCTATAAGGGGATGATGCAAGGGAGGAAGACCGGATTGGGAGCCAAAGCGATCGTCGACGAGAAGTAAAGAGGCTACGGTGAAGGTAACACATTGTTTGTGGCAAGACAAAGGAAAGTCGCTCCGGTATCCAACTTCCCGTCCTTCATTAGTCTGTCCGGAGACACGAGGCAATACATATTATTGGTGCCATGCATCCGGGTCCGCTGTCATCAAAATAAAAGTGCAAACGCGGCTTCAAGATTTTCCATCTCGACTGGAAACGCGTCAACAGTGTACCTGTGACCGCATTCAAAGATTCTTCCTCATGAACACCTCATAGAGCTTGATAGTTCATTCTTATACAAATGCGCGAAAGAAGAGCCGAAGCGTGAATCAGAGGTTCATCCGATAAGGAATACAATCATGGTCCGAATTTTACGAACGGAAAGGTACACTGCATCGACAGTGTTAGCCAATAGACAAAAACGGCCTGAGGATGTTTAAAGTACCTAGGTTTCTCATTCTAGGGAGTTCGTCGAAAAATCAACCATGTGTAAGCCTATCCTTCCTCTATCGCCATCCTTTAATGTCGCTCAGCTTTATTTCCTAGTCAAGTCGTGACAATAATTTGCAGCAATGCAAGAATGAGCGTTCAGAGATGAAATTTGAAATATCAAGGAGAAACTGAATTACCGCCAAGACATACTAGTGCCAAAAGGGACATGGATCGTCCAGTAGAAAGACGGCCCGAATGCAGGCATTGAGAGGGAAACGCAGCTTTGCCCGTCTCCTGCTCTTGGTCCCAGTGAAAAGCACTACACAGCAAACTGGTACAAAGCCGCCGGCCACGTCATCGCCATTCGGTCGAGCATCATTGGCCCTCTCTGTCTGGATGAGGTGTGTCAAGACTTCCTTCGTCCTTGGCGGTCGTTGTCGCACGACCTTAAGGAGCAGCAAAGGAACCAGCCGTGATGATTACGCAGGGTACGATTCTCCTATAGTCTGCAGACAGTCAATAAGCAATGATGGAAGCTTTTGAGCAGTAATCGCAACGTACCAAACAAAAATACCCCCTAGTTATCAGCCTCTGCCACCAGTTTGACTTTTAACTCATTTATCACGCCCGTTCGCCATATTGGATTCCGGAGGCTGCAAGCGGACACGGGCGATTGTTTGCGAGAATTTTCTTTCCTTCAACTTGGGTCCTCGTAATCCTGATGCATGGAAGCGATTTGGCAGCGACAGACGGAAATGGCGGTGGCGGATGAGGCCGACGGTCAAATTCTGGTTACGGATCAATTTCGAAGTCCGACGTGCTTTTCCTGCTACCATCATACTTCTTCGCCGTCGACCGTACCGTCCAGGACATTATCGGGAGAATGCCTAGTTCGAAGTGTAGTATTTGACTGGTGACTGGCGACTAGGTATGTCAGTCTTACGCCGGTGTACTGTCTCGAGGTACTAAACGCGACATTTCGCAGGTCGAAGCCTCAATGTAGCCAGGCTCCCGAGAGATTTTCAGCTTCATCAAGTCGAGCATGACATACAGGATGATGATGGCGCGATACTGTAAATGACGGCTAAGACTGAACTAAGATGACTCTGCTCCGTGGCGTTTGATTCTCTCCGACCCTCCTTTCGACGCACGCATAGTCGTCTTGTCGTCTTTCAGGAAGTCGCATGCCTTCACCCGCAAGTGGTAGCGGAATTGTGAGACTCATCGAGCACGGATAGAAAGTCAGGGATGGTCGCTTGCTTTGGTGCCCATACCAATGACCTGTTCGTGCTTTTCCCTCCATTCCGGCTGTATTCGTGTTACAGGTAACTCTGTCAATGATTTTGGCTGCACCCCAAAACCTTACTGACCAGTTCGTCCTATGTGTCTGTGTAATTGTGGACCTACTCAGACGTCCTTTAACAGTTGATACATCCCCTTGCTCTTCCAATACGATCTCTCTGCTCGAGACGGTGTCATCTGCAAGTACCAGCCATAGAGGTTACTTTAGCAGCAGAGAAGGACGTTTGCTTGCTTTCGGGAAGCCATACGTGCTAAGTTATTCATTTTGAGATACTCATTAATCGCTGGGTTATAGTTGTCTGCAATAATAATCCCGGCGTCTCCTCCTCTGCTTGCTTCTAACTGGTCTAAGACTCTTGTGGACATTTGGAAGCACGAACGTTATTGCCAAGGAACCCGTGGGTCTGATTATTGCTTTATCGATCTTCATTATGCCGAATCGCACGGCTTCCTGGACTGTCGATTGACATAAATGTGATTTAATTTGCGTCACCCGTACGTGTTCAAAATAATATTCATCCGGGTCCGAGTGTATGTTTTGGTCCTTTCTGGTAATAAATGGAATGCTAACATTGAAATAGATCCACCTCAGGATAGCGTGCGATGGCAACGGAGGTTGACATAGAGATGAGGGAGAGAACGTCTTTTCTTGGGAGACGAAGGCCGTGCTATAGCATACAAGCAGACGGAAAACCAACACCTCGTATCCGTGGAGTATGCTTCCAGTGTTCATGTATCAGATGCCCCTCATTCCTGGAGATTCATCCCTTCCTGAACTCTACATCACCGCTTTCTCGCTTACAGAAATGGACCAGAAAGCGATGAAGGACAAGGCGACGTTCTGGTAGTGGATCAGTTTCAAGGACCGACGACTTTTACCACCATTGTCGCATTACTGCTCGCTCCATCGCCCGGTTGTCGCTAGTGAACTATACCGCGCTTGTGATACATGTTCGGCGCTGGTAGAACGTCAAATTATCGAGAAAGGGAAACTGACAAAACGCATGTTGAGCAGGCGCGCTAGCGTGAGCTCTGCCGGTCCCAAGATTTTAACCCCGATGTTCCGCACGCTCGTTTCCTTGTACCAAAGAGCATTGGACGGCTTTCAGACATCGAAGAGAGACGCACGGCACGGTGTCACCGCGACATTGGACGTATTCACCTGTCCTGTAGGTCGAACAAACCCACCCGCAATGTATACTGACGTGCAAGGTACTGCTTCGGCAACGAAGGTACGATCTCTTTGCCTTTGGCTCTTCTACCTTTTAAAGCGCGTATGGTCAGGTTGCCGTCTTTCAGAAATTCGCGTGTCCTCGCCAGCAAGCAAGAGCATCTGTCTAGGAAGACGGGATTCCCTGGCCCGGGGTAGAAGCCGAATTTTCGGTGCCCACATGAGCTTCTTTTTCATTTCTTTGCCATGTTCTTAATCGCTTTACAGGTGCAGCAGCCCTACCTGGCCTTTGTTTAGTTGTGCTTTATACCTCATCTCTTCGTTGGAATTCCCGGTGCGTTGTTCGTATCTCTGAAATGATGATCATACCTATGCTTTCTTTTAACAGGCGCTCACTTTCCATCGACAAGCAAATTCATGCATGAAACAGCGCGCGTAAATCTCCGGGGACCACGGTATGAGGTTTAGGCTTTCGGTGATTATACGCGAAATGATGACGTTGGATCAGATCCACCTTGCCTGACCCACATTTGCTTTTTCACCTCCTTTCTCACGTGTGAGTACTGCTCAAATTCTCGGTTATACATGCTGCTTACTCATTGGGATTATCAAAGCTTCTTCTGATCACCTTGAAAAGACATTTCATCCTGCGCTCGCTCACGAAATATGGCCTCCCAGTTCAAGCTTAGTTTTAGTCAGCATCCCGACATTTATGTATCGGTCGGCTGCTGTGAACTAATATTTTGGTATTTAGTAACTATTGGCTCTTGCCTCCTCTGTATTTCCAGAAACACTGATGTCGTCCTACCGTCAGGGTTTCTATGATCATCTTTCTGTGCTTGCATAGGCTAACGGCACTCGAGTCACGTTATTAGCCAATAGCACAACTACGCAATACAGAAGCGCCACAAAGACTCCGATTTGATGATATATTTGCATCTGACCCCTTATAAAACGACGAACTGTAGACCACTCATTGCCCTTCATTGATCATCATGGCACCCAGAACTCGTGAACAATGGATCGCAGACCAGACCAGACCAATGCCCGCCGTCGTCACCGCCGACCTGACTGGGAAGACGCTCGTCCTTATTGGTGCCAACGCCGGACTGGGGTTCGAAGCAGCGAAACATTTCGCTAGGATGAACCCTGCGCGATTGGTGTTGACGGCAAGGGATGAAGTGAAGGGAAAGGAGGCACTCACCCGTACATTCTTGCGCTTATCAGATCTGACGATGTCGGCTGATCTTTGTCATCACAGGCATTCAGCAAGACACTGGCTATTCCAAGGCGGAGCTATGGATCATCGATGTCGCCAATTTCAAGAGCGTCATCACGTTTGCTGATAAAGCTGAACGTGAACTGGACCGATTGGATATCCTCGTAGAGAACGCTGGTATGGCTACTTGGGAGTACGGACAAGTGGAAGGTTGGGAGAGAACGTACGTGGGGTCCATCTATGAGTGAATAAAGGCTCACTGTTCTCCTAGCTTGCATACGAACAACCTCGGTCCCGGTTTATTGGCGATCCGGATGATCCCAAAGATGCTGGAGACAGCTCGCAAGCACTCGGTCATCCCGAGATTGGTCATTGTCGCGAGCGATGTGCACTACTGGACAAAGATTGAAAAGGACGTCATTGCGTCTCCGAGGATCCTCGCGAAGTTGTCAGACAAGCAGTACTGTACAAAAGAGTGCGTTTGATCTCTTTCTAGTACTTCGTATGTTGACTTTAAACAGGGTTATGGATCGCCGATACTATGACTCAAAATGCTCGTAACATTTTGTTTGATCGTCATACCGACTGACCTCATATCTTCGTAGTGCTCAACGTCCTCTTTGCCCGATCCCTGCAGCTCCACGTCCCATCTTCACCAGCAATCACCGTCAACTCCGTCAATCCCGGCTTCTGTTTCTCGGGTCTCCGAACTGGGATCCGTGCCGAAGAGGCCAAAGCTATGCGGAAAGAGGAAGAAGAACTTTGCTTCACGACCGAAGAAGGGAGCCGTCAGCTGGTGTACGGTGCTGTTGGGTCACTGGATGACGAGGAGAAGCTTCGCGGAAAGTTCATCCAGATGTCTGAGGTCGTGGAGGAGAGCGATTTCGTGATCAGCGAGGATGGGAAGATCGTGCAGGATAAAGTCTGGGTGAGTCGTTTTTTTCCTGTGCTGACGAAGGAGTAGTTTGCTGAATTCTTGTGTATAGGAGGAGATGTTGGACATTTTGGGTAATATCGATCCTAAGGTCTTGGAGGTTGCAAACACGTATCTACAGAAGACTTGATTGATATTTGCTAGATTGAACGCCCGCGTGTACAGATTATATCGCAGTACGAGTATCGAAACTTTGAAAAATCATCCTCATAACTCCTTATATTTGTGGCCTGCAGGCTAACACACATTACAATCTGATCACAGACATTACGTCATTTTCAACCGCCGCCCTCCCACAATGCTCTTCCTGTGTCTCTGCCGTAGGTGTACACGCCGCTTCGGATCCAAGGCGGTAGGACAGTGGCTCGAAGCCGCTAGGTGTACGTACCACTTCTCAGTACCTGCTGGCGACTCATGATATTCCATTGGATGAAGAGATTCGCAGCGAATGTCTGCAGAGGGTTTGCAAAGATTGGCATTACTCTTTCACTTCCTCGTCTCTGGTCTACTGTAAATCTCAACATGCAAGGGGAGGATGGGTCAGCAATTCGCGGCATATGAAAGCATTGGAACTGTAGCTCGAACGCTCCGGTATATGCTTGTTATTCATGACAATAAAAGGTACCAAAACCCTCACATGTTCCAATACTCTAGCGCTCCTCACCTCCTCGTCGCCGCGCTAGAAGAAACTAATAACCACGATAACCTTCAATCGTTGGGATATTTCTACGGTCTTACCATCATCGATGCTTATCGTATGGAAGAACCCCCTGCTTTTGAATCCATCAGCCTCCGTGACCCTCGGATGCTTAAAAAGGTTGTGGGCTCGCCGCGTATCTTGAACCATACATCTCTGGCATCTGCACATGCCTGAAATCACGGTAGCCGAGGACATAAGAGCGCCTACGACCAGTGAGGAGCTTATTTCCATTCTCCGTCGACTGCCCTTTCTCGAGCGATTTTCGTTGCCCTGCCTGCCAGCAATAGCGAGTGGAGACCTTGGATAAATCAATGTGATGATGGCTCATCTTCAACATCTATCGCTTCCAACATCATCTACCATTCTTGCTGGTCTCATGTTACCGGCGCTCACGACCTTGAATCTGAGAGGTATTTTTGTCGATACTGTCATCTCGCATATTCATCGCTCTCGGTCAACGATTCCGGAGACACCCCTCTCCTCGGATGACATTGTTGAGGTGGATTGCGCCCGGCTGCTCAGCGAACTCTCGGCTCTTGAGGTTGCCGCAGTATTCATAGAATACGCTCATACGCCAACGTTCATTAAGGGACTGTTCGAGGCGTCGGATCGTTTCACGGCACTACACATCCTCACGTTAAAGGGAATAGGAGCTGTTGATTGTTGATACAGCCCGTTTTGTTCCTGTCAAAGATGCACACCCTGGTATTGTTATAAATTTTAGTGTCTTTCTTGATAGCACAGTGGCTAGATGCGAATGGCTACACATCGACCTTATCTGCCACCACAATTTCCGTCTATCACTACCAAATGGCTTCTGTACCTCAGATTTACAAGGAATGAAGTTGGAGAAAGGAAATCCTCGCGAATGATTACCCAGGCCCGCTAATCAAACTGGGGCAGAGTGGGTGTTTTGTTATTGGTACGTCGCGATTATTGCTCGACTTCTTCAATCATTCCTTATTGCCCATCTGTTGACTACAGGCTTGCAGCAGGAGAATTGTACCCAGTGTAATCATCACGGCTTATTCCTCTGCTGCTCCCTAAGCTCATGCCACAACGAAGGCCATGGACGAAGGAAGTCTTGACATGCCTCATATCGATGGAGAGGGCCAATGATGCTGGACCAAATGGCGATGATGTGGCCCGCGGCTTTGTACAGGTTTGCTGTGTAGCGCTTTTCACTGGAACCATGATCAGGAGATGGGCAGAGCTCCCATTTACTCCCAGTATCTGCATTCTGTCCATCTTTCTACTGTACACTTCACGTCACATTTCGCACCAGGATGTCATTCAGTTTCTCCTTGATATTTGATCTCTGAACGCTCAGTTTTGCTTGCTGCAGGTCCTATTGCGACTCCACGAAGAAATGAAGCCGAGAGAAGTTAAATAATGTGGATAGAGGAAGGATAGGCCCTAAATATCGTTGATTTCTCCAAGAGCTCCCTAGAATGAGAAAACTAGGCATGTTGAAATTCCCTGGGTTATTTTTGTCTGTTATATAATTCTATTCATTAAAGGTGGAGCATGTCCGTATTCTTCATCGGATAAATCTCTCAACCATGCTTACACTCTTTTGGACGTTTCCTCCACTCATTTGTGTGAGGATGAACTGTCAAAACCTGCGAGGTGCTGACGAATAAGCTTCTTTGAATGAGGCTACAAGTCCACTAGCCACGCGTTTTAGATTGAGACAGATCTTCCAATCGTTCTTATTTTTGACAATGGGAGCCTGGATGCATGCTGCCAATACGTATCGCATCGTGTCTCTGTACAGGCTAATCAATGATGGGAAGTTGGATACCGGAGCGACTTCCCTTCGTCCTGCCACAAACAACGTGTTAGCTAGCCTCCACCATCGCCTCTTTACTTCTCGTCGACGATCGCTTTGGCTCCCAATCCGGTCTTCCTCCCTTGCATCATCCCCTTATAGATGATATGTCCCACTCATGTCCAAATTGCAATATGGTATGTGGAGGATCCTCCTTCACCCCAGGTCCTGATATCATGGCCCTTTTGCATACCAATTGACCTCCGTCAGCATCAGAGGAGGCTATATTCAGAGATATCCGAAAGATGGGATCTGGCATGCTTTTAGAGCTTGATTCCTCGATATCAGAGCTGCAGATGGAATTGAAATCCCTCATCCACACACGCAGTGAGCTTCAGTGGAGTATGGAGCACTCAACCGAGATCCTTAATCCCGTCCGTCGTCTTCCTGAAGACATGTTACACGAGATTTTCACATATTGCCTTTCCAACCTGACACCGAGTCGTACTTCCTTCCATTGTGCAAATTCACCCCCATGGATCCTTGGCATGGTGTACAGGATGTGGGGGCAGACTATGCTATTGTTTCCACAGCTATGGACGCATGTGCACTTCGATATGTGTATTGTGCCCAACCCCATTCGTATCCAAAAGCGACTGTCAAAGAGATCACCTACTGACTGTGTTGTTTCACATGAGTGCTTGCTGAAGAATCTCCATCTTCAACTGCAGCGCTCGGCCGGCCTTCCCCTTGATATCTCATTCTTTCACGATATAGATGTGCCAAATGAAGGAGCCTCATACCTTTGGCCTCTCATTGCCTCTTCCTACCGATGGAAGCAGTTGTCAACCAGTGTGTCAGGGCTCACGTTGGAACCATTCTTATTTATTCAGAATTCCATCCCTGCACTCGAAACCTTGGAGATAGTTGAAGGGCTGACAACACCTTCCCATCTGGTCCAACTTTTATCTGCTACCAATCTTTGAAATCTCATCATCAATAATGTTCATCATCCGGGTTGGCTGGACCTGCAGCTCCAATGGGTGCAGCTGACTACTTTGACACTGAAAGGTGTTATAACTGATTCAAATGCACTGCAGACAGTGCAAGTTCTCCTTCAGATGTCATCGCTAAAATGGTTGACATTCACATCACCAGTCATTCCTTGGCAAGTTCACCAGCATACACATGCGGCTCCCATCGTTTTTCCCAAAATTGCATCCCTATCCTGCATCATAGGATATTCGGAGATGATGCTTAGCTCCAAGCCTCTTGACAGCATATTGTCATTCCTCGTCTTACCATCATTAAACCATCTGAATATATCATATGTGGATGTTCACCCTGCAACAGTTGCAAGCCTGAGTGACAGTGTAGTTCCCATGTTGCAACGGTCAATCTGTGCTCTGAAGACACTCAAGCTCTCATGGGGCTCAATGATCTCTGATCCATTGTGCCTACTCCGATGTGACACCTGTTCATCAGTGGAGGCCATCTCTATCTTTAGGTTCCCATTCACCCATATTCGAGATATCCTTTCACATCCTTACACTGCGCCTTTCCTCCCTGGACTGCACTCCATCGAGATAGATATGTCTTCTTTGAGTCTTGCCACTGGCAAATACGAGTTACTTGAGAATTGCATTCTACTCTTTTTGGAGTCCCATGAAGCAGGCAGGGTTGGTTTACACTGTTGGGATAGCAATCCCGAGCGAGTACGAGAATGTACTCGAAGATATGATGTCAGTCAGTGGCAGCTGACTTGGATTGTGATCTGGACTTCTTTAGTATCTTGTAGAAAGATCTCGAAGTAATACGAAATGTATTTAAGTAGAACGTTTCTCTCTCAAGAAGCTAATTCTAATCCTCTGTACATTACTCTGCTCTCTACTTACAACATACACCATTTGCATATGCATGTTCAAATGGAATACATCATGTCAGAATCCTTCAAAAGTCATCTCATTGATTTCTGCAGGTGGGGTCTCCACTTTTACACATCTCAGTATGATCAGATTCCAGGCCATTTTAACACTATGGATTATGGATACTATGGTAGGGTTTCAGTGAGTGTATGGTAGCAACTGTAGCCACTGAGTTTGTGTTTATAAATGCCTATCAAATTTCTTTGTCCACTTTAAATAATGGCCTTAAAATTATTTCCAAAACAAAATCAATTTAAGATATAGTGGGCAAAGCTGATGTCACACAGGCAGACCACCATGACTTGACAGTACAACTGTCTATATCAACTATTGACTGAAATTAGACCCCCTTCTTCTTCTGACTGTGCTCAGTGGGGTCAGGAGCCTTGTTCAGGTCATGTGCACTGTAGAGCAGGAGTTCAAGACATGGCCATAGTCTTCTTTTCTTTTTTTTTTTTGTAGGAATATTTTTGGGCCTGGAGCAGTGAGCCATGCTTACCCCATTGGCCCATGTTAAATGGGGTTTCCACCTTTGAGTTCCACCACTGATGAAATGCTTTATGCATGCCCTTCATAACAGTGTGAGACTCAAGCCTCCTTATGTGTGCCATCCTGTTATGATTTTTCTATCTTTTCTATTTCTTTTCATGAATTAACCCCTATTTATGCTTAGTCAGAGAGCCTAGAGCCTAGTGCTTAAGACTGTGGGATAAGCTTAGTTAGCACAACAAGCCTGTTCAGTCATTGTCTTTTGACACAACACAGTGAAGAGGATCTGAGTGTGTGCAAGGTGAAAATGGATACAGCAGAGTGCTATCCACTGACCACACTCACACCAACACACACACAAAACTCTTAG